GTTATCAAAGGTTAATGGTTATCAAACAAAGTTGCATCTTTGTAGTGAGTAAATTGCTTTTGTCTATATGAAAAAATTATAATAAATAATTATTGCTCTACTATTGGTATTAAGCCCTCTTTTGAATTAATGCTGTGAACGTTAGAATTTATATATTATTTTCGTTCTCATTACATTCGATATATATATATATATATATATATATATATATATATATATATATACACACACACACTTATTTAGGAAATAATAATGATATTTGCAAAAACACTTAATGTTCTTATATATTTTATATGTAATATTTATAATACATGTATATTTACAGAGAATTATTAAATCCAATTAATTATTGAATTATTAAAATGGTTTTAGTTACATGTAAGCCATCAGAAAAAATCATTTTACTTGAACCAGCTCTTTAGCTTTTCAAAAAGCTTTTAGATGTTTATTCATTTACCACATGTAAACACTTAAGTTTGGAATAAGAGAAAGAAATCACATGTTGTAACTGGTTTTATTTGTTGCTCATATTAAGAGAAATATGATATTTATCTGTTTTTAAAGATGTACATCTGGTTTATGTAATGAATTGAGATTTTGGCTTTAAATTGGCTGATAAAAAAAACATTTCTTTATTAATGCACTTTTATTTGGTGGTTTTGTAGTCACATTAGTAGAATGGGAAGATATTAAAGTTTGACAGATTTCATCCTTTGCATTCCTCTATATATTGGCTAAGGGGTATTTTTCTAGTGTGGGTATCCCTAATTTGTTGGCAATGAACTGTTATCCTTTGTCAGAGTGTTTGGCTGGTTTGACCAATGTGCTCATGGCAACCTTTGTATGTTATAATTTATATTAGGTTTCTCTGAGTTGCATGAGAAATTACTTTTAGTTTTAAATTTAGACCTGTCTTTGAAGTGAAATTTGTAGCATTCTAATAAGTAGCCGTAGTTTATGTTTATATATATATATATATATATATCTTACTTATTATAAAACGCAGATTGTGTGTGTGTGTGTGTGTGTGTGTGTGTGTGTGTGTGTGTGTAACGTTTATATATTGGATCGGATTTCCTACATTTTTCAACCGATTTCAACAAAACTTCACAGGACTACATAAAATTACCTTGTGGTGGTTCTAACAGCGCCAAAAATGGGAAAAATATAATTGTTTTTGCACAAAATCAATTTGAAAACACGATTAAGAGACATTGTGAAAATGGAAGGGGAACAACTCACATCGGGTTGTTTGTGTGTGTGGGTTACTTTAAATATGGGAGTGGATTTCCTATATTTTTCAGCCGATAAAAAAAATTCACTTTTTTTTTTGGCAGGTTGTGTTTCTTATTCTCTTGCACACTTTTTTCTTTATTTTTGATATTCAGAATGCTTTAAAAATTCCATTTACAAGACAATTATTTATAATAAAATTCTATTCAATCAGGAGACTCATAACGATTGAAAACAATGTTTTTGTTTGAGTTTGGGTTTGACCAATTCGTAAAAAAAAAAAAACAAACTAAAGACATGCATGTCCGTCAACCTTAAACAATAATCTAACGATCTCTACTGATTGTACGAATACAAACATCGGATAAATTCTTTATCTTTAGGGAAAGATAATGAAGTCTAAACATACACAAGTCCTAACTAAAAATAATAACCAGAAACTACTTTAAATACACATGGTGTCCAATTTTTTTAATGTATTCAATAAGTAAAAATCATAAATTGTAAAAGATTATTATTACAGAAAGGCTACTAAATGAATAAGATTTGTTAGATCATAATTAATAAACCCAAATAAAGTTAATATTTTTTGTATTAGAAACAACGAGTGGAAAATATATTCAAATCAGAATTCTAATTATGAATCACCACAAGCAAAATATGCAATTTTTTTTACTGTATTTAAGTAAAAATCATAAATTGTAAAACTAAAAGATTACAGAAAGGCTACCTACATTTTTCAACCAATTTCAAGAAAACTTCACTTTTTTTTTTGGCATGTAGTGTTTCTTATTGTCTTGCACACTTTTTTCTTTATTTTTACATTCAGAATGCTTTAAAAATTCCATTTACAAGACAATTATTTATAATAAAATTCTATTCAACTGGGAGACTCATAACGATTGAAAACAATGTTTTTGTTTGAGTTTGGGTTTGACCAATTCGTAAAAAAAAAAAAAACTAATTAAGACATGCGTGTCCATCAACCTTAAACAATAATCTTTGTCAATTTTATTTTTCAGTCTTTATGATGATGGATACTAGATCTATCTCTTACTGTTATATCGGGCAACGCTGGGCAACGCTGGGCTCTACTGCTAGTATATATATATATATATATATTAACAAACAGTTGCGTAACTATACCCAGAACAATCCTTGAAAATGGATGTAGTGACATTCAAAAGTACTTGGAAGAAAAAACTATAAAATAACAGTTAGCATAAGTATTTTGAAAATTTAATAATACAAAACAACTTATCAAAAC